CAGTTTCCATTTTGTGAGGGATAAAGCTCAGAGCCTCACTAATTAAAGGGAACTGACCTGTAAAATGAGACTGGGGATGGATGGTGGGGCAGGAAGGCCAGTGGAGGAGGAAGGAAAGAAGATGGGGCCCCAGCAGTCTTGATCAAACATTCTAATTAGATGAGGAGAGCAGGCCTAGAGACTGGAAGAGATTTGCCCAAGGACACACACAGCCAATCAGCCTAGACTTGAGTTTTGAAAGGGGTAGGCAGAATGGAGGGGGAAATCTGAGAATCACAGAGGCAGGCAAAGACAGACTACAGGAGACAAAGAGAATTCCATTGATTGTATATTCAATACTAATACCTATAGGAGAAGACAAAGGAAATATAATCCCGGACACTGACCAAAAAGGTATCTTTGGACACTCAACTCCAACGGCAAAGAAAACAAAAGCAAAATAAATAAATGGCACAACATCCAACTAAAACTTTTGTACAGCGACAGAAATCACCACAAAAATGAAAAGAAAAACTACTGAATGGGGGCCTCCCTGGTGGTGCAAGGGGTTGAGCACCGCACTATGAAGCAATCTGCACCCTCTGCAGCATGAGTTTGATCCCCAGCCAGCCAGGGACCAACCCACATGGCGCAGCAGACCTCTCCTGACTCACCCGCTGCTCCCCTCGGCAGTGTACTTTGGTCAATCTGCCTGTTCTGTGCCCCGCTCTGTTTCTGGTGAATCCTCTCATACCACACATCTCTAGCCTGTACCCCAGCTCTTGTATGCATAAATAAATCTTTAAAAAAAGAAAAGAAAAGAAAAACTACTGAATGGGTACTGAAATATACTTGCTTATCAAATATCCAACAAGGTCTTCAAATCCATAATATATAAAGAACTCCTATAACTCAAGGACAAAAACAATCCAATCAAAACTGGGCAGAGGATTTGAATACTTCTTCAAAGATGATGGCTAACTGGACATGAAAAATGTTCAACTGTGCTTATTATCAGGGAAATGCAAATCAAAACCACAAGGAGATACCACCACACACCTTTGAGAATGGCTTATGTCTAAAAGGCTGAAAACAACATGTGTTGGTGAGGGTGTGGCAAAAAAGAAACTTGTTCACTCTTGGCAGGAATGCAAATTGGTGTAGCTCCCATGGAAAATGATATGGAGAGTCTTTAAAAATTTAAAAGTGAAAATACTATGTGATATAGTCATATCTTTCCTAGGTATCTAAACACTATTTTGAAAAGATTTCTGCACCCCAATGTTCATAGCAGGCTTATTTGCAATAGCTAAGACATGGAATCAACCTAAATACCATCAACAGATGGCTGGATAAAGAAGTTGTGGTACATATACTCAATGGAAGACTACTCAGTGATTTAAAAGAATGAAATCTTGCTTTTGCAACAACATGAATAGAAGGTGAGCCAATCATGCTGAGCATAGTAAGTCAGGAAAGTGAAAGACAATTAAAGATATTTGTTCTCATATGTGGCATATAAATTACCAAAGCAAACAAAGTAACAACACAAGCAAAATAACTATTAGACTGTGGAAAAAACATAGTGGTAACCAGAGGGGTAGGACAGGGATGAGAGGGAAGAGTAAAGGGTGTTGACCTGCTAGTGGGAAGGGGGCTGGAACTTCGGGGATGGGAGAGGGGAGGCTTATACACATACAGAAGCGAAGATATACCCCCCAAATTTATGTAGTATTATAAATCAATGACAAATCAATAAAATTTTATTAAATTAAAAAAATGTAACATTCACATGAAGGTCTACTCCATGCCAGACATGGCAACCTACCATCCCATTATCTCATTTAATCATCATAGCTCTAGGAAGTAGATATTATGAATCCCCCTCAAATGTGGAAACTGAGGTTCAAAGAAGTTGAGTGACTTGTTCACAGGCATTCAGCAAGTAAGGTGTTCCTGACTCCAAGCCCTTCGTAACCTCCCCCTAAGCTTGGGTGACCCTGGGTCCCAGTTTCGACATACTGCCCTGGCTTAAGTATTAATGTCCCCTTCACTGTCTAAAGTGACTCAGTTTAGGCAAAATATTCCATGACTACCCTCCCTAGGCTGCATCTTATAAACTGCTTTGTGCAGGGCTAGTCCAGGCCAGGATCCAACACATGAGTAGGCAATCTAGACAGAGTCTATCCTGCCCTGACTCAGAAATGAAGCACCAGAGCACAGGGGTGCGGAACCTCACCTCTAGAGTAAGCCAAACCTACCGAGGCTCAAACCCAGCTGTAGTACCTTGGATTAGTCATTTGACCTCTCGAGGTTTCAGTTTGCTCATCCATAAAATGGGGATACCATGGCTATTTCCCCAGGTCCAGGGATGACATGAAGAAGCATACCTATGACTAAATGGCAGATGTAGCATTTTAACCAATACCCTTTCTGTTGCACCCTGGGGATCCCACAGTGTGTACTTGGTCTGTGTTTGCCCAGGATTAAGCTTGTTTACAGCCCATTCTCCCATGATTCACTTTGTGGTTCCCTGCTGGAGGGCCTCTTGCACGTGCTGGGCCTTTTTGTTTGCCTGTTTAGTTAAAACAGTGTGCCAGACAGCATTCTAATTATATTACATATGTGAAGCTAATTAATCCTCATAATAACCCTATGCTTACAAATGAAGAAACTTGGGCACAAGAGAGGTTAGTTGACTTGTCCAAGTTCACACAGCTGGTTAGTGGCATAGTTGGATTTGAATCCCATCAGCCTGGCTTAAGGGTCTGCCTATACAGTACTTCCCTCTGTCCTGAAGGTGCTACCTGTCTACCACCATGGGTCTGTCCTGTGCCTTTGCCTGGATAACTCCTATGCACCCTTCATGACTTTACTGAAATACAGCTTCTCCCAGGAGACCCTCCCTGACTGGCCAACCTAAATCACATTTCCCACTCCTGCCCATGGAATAATCACTCATCCCACACTTTGCATTCCTTCAGAGCTGATACAGTTTGTTATTCTCCATTTATTTGATAATTTGTCTTCTCCACTAGACAGTGCATTCCAGGAGGGCAGGGCCCACTTTTATATCCCAAGCATCTGAAACAGACATATTGTAGGGGTTCAATAAATATTTGAAGGAAGGAATAAGTGCAAGGAGGAAGGGAGTGGGGTGAACTAGAAGCCTATTAAGGACAGGAGGCGCCCTAACAGTGTTTTGTCATCACAGGAGCCTTGCCCAGGCACACAGTGGGGTTCTCAATGTTTGCTGACTGAATGCATCAGCAGCCTGGCAGACCCACCCCTTTGGGCCTTAGGAATAGTGGTGGCCAGATGGGGCAGGGCTGGGCCCCCGCAAGGGCCAGTGCCAGGCTCAAGGCAGGCAGGGACTCAGCGCTAGGCTGGCACCAGCCTTTCCTCTCTGCCTTCCCCCACCGACTGGACCCCTCCTTCTCCCTTCTTCTTTTCCTTTCTGAGATGAAGCTCTGAAATGATTTTTCTACTTGAGCAGTTTTCAATTTAGATTAAGAAAAATGTGGTCTACAGTCACTAGGCAAGAGGCCTTAGCAGCCCCATCCCTTCAGGGACTGGGGGGTTTCTCAGCTACTGATAGAGCAGTGCTAGTTCTAGGGAGCGGGTATTTGGGGGGGGGGGACTTCCCACCCCCTCTACCTCCCCACATCACCCATCTCCATCACTTGGTTGCCTCTTGCCTTCCTGAACAGAACCAGGATCTGGAATCATACAGAGATGGGTGGATTTGGGCTCTTACTCATGCAAACTGTGTGATCTTAGGCAGGCTCTATACCTCTCTGAACCTCCTTGTTTTGTCCATTAGGTGGGTCAATAATAAAACCTCTAATTTGGTCCCTGTCTTCCACCCAGATCAAAAGGTACCCTCCGCCCAGCCTTCCAGATTGTGAGAGAATAAATAGCAAGGGCAACAAGAGGACATTTAATTGGGGGCAGAGTCTCAGAAACTGAAAGGCCAAGGCTAAAACAGGAAAAAAGCCTGAGAGGGAGGGAGACTTGACCGGCAAAAGAACAGACAGATGGTTCCAAGAAGGCCCTGAGGGGCCAGGACTTCTTAGAGTCTCTAAGGTTACCTAGGGCCAAGGGCAAGGGCATCTCTGTGTGTCAGGGGCAGAGGAGGAAGGAGGTGGGACTCTGGGGCCCCTTAACTCCTTTGCAATTCTGAAATCTTTACACCAGGGATAGATTTTGTGTTGTTTATCAATATTGCCTTTCTGAATGAAACCACTTTTGTTTCTACGAGTAAATAAAGGGTATGTACTAATCGTAGTTAACAGCACCAATTCTTGCATCAGGCAGACCTGGGTCTCATTTCCCGCTCCTCTCCCCAGTAGCTGTGTGCTCTTGGGCAAGTTACTCAACTTCTCTGAAACGCCCCCCCAAAAATGCATAATTTGTACTGCTCTGTTTTTGTTTTCTTATTTGTAAATCACTTTACTGAGGTGTAACTTACAGATAATAAAATGTACCCATTTTAAGTGTATATTTCGATGAGTTTTGGAAATTTATATACCTATGGAATCCCCACTGTGATCAAGAAAATGAACATTTTTATTATCCTAAGTTCTCTTGGGCCCTTCCCAAGCCTTCTTTTCTTTTTTAAATATACAAACAAAAGGTTTTCCAGCCCCCATGACTATATGTCATGGCATCAAAGGTGCCTCCCAGGAAGGGGTACAGTGTTTACATGGCAATCTGCCCACCCTCACACACACACTGTCATGGGGACCCAGCAACACGTGTTCCTTGTTAGAGAACCCAGAACCTCAGATACAAGGTGGTGTCCCCCATGCGACTGCCCATGGTGACCCACTCGAAGGGTTCCTGACAACTCCAGCAGGCAGCAAGGCTTCTGGGCCTTCGCTGTGTGTCTTTTTGTTTTGATACCTCACGTGACTCGGCTGCAGGGAGGGCCTGGGCCAGCTGCATGTCATCCGCCCCTGTGACCTCAGTGCCTGGCAATAACAGGTGCAGGATGAATGAATGAAAGGGGGATGGTCAGCCAGAGGCCCCCCCAATGAAATGTGAGAAACGTCATACATCTTATCCAAGGGTTCCCCAACGTCTATCCTTCAAGTTCAAGTCTCACAAATGTCATAGCCAGGTACAGGTACTATTATTTAATAGCCCTTAAATAAGTTCAATTAGTTTTTATTCTTTCCACATTTGCCTCACTTTAAGCAACTATGAAATTATGGTTTTATCTGTCATATACATAAACAAAAACATAGGAAAAGAATATATATCAGGGCCTCCCCGGTGGCGCAGCAGTTGAGCGCTGGGCTGCGAAGCTGCCCGCAGTTTCTGCAGCGTCGGTTCGATCCCCGGCCACCGGCAAGGGTCCCACATGGCACGCAGACCTCTCCTACCGCCCGCTGCTCCCCTCAGCAGTGTACTTCGTCACTCTGCCTGTTCAACTCTCCGCTCTGGCTCTGGTGAATTCTTTCACCCTCCAGTGCCTCTGACTGTACCCAGTGCTTATATAAATAAATAAATAAATAAATAAATCTTAAAAAAAAAAAAAAAGAATATATATCAAATACTTTATAAATTAAAAAATAGATTCCATCAGCTCTAATCATAGTGCCATTACATATGTATGTATTTATTACATATATTTAGATATGTATATAAAGTATTTCTATTATAACTATTTTTTTTAAAGATTTATTTATTTATACAAGAACTCGGGTACAGTCAGAAGCGCAGGTGGGTGAGAGGATTCACCAGAGCCACAGCGGGGAGCAGAACAGGCAGATGGACCGAAGACACTGCTGAGGGGAGCAGCAGGCAAGGCAGGAGAGGTCTGCTGCACCATGTGGGTTTCTCCCTGGCTGGCCGGGAATCGAACCTGCACTGCAGAGACTTCAGACAACTTCACAGCACAGCGCTTAACCCGCTGCGCCACCGGGGAGGCCCTATTATAACTATATTTAAATATATATATTTTATATACTTTCCACATATATGAAACTTTTTATGTTAATATGATTTCAAACTTTTCAGAGAAGTTGCCGAGACCATCCATTGTCGTATCCAGATTACCACCTGAATACATTCTGCCTCTATCTGTGCCTGCTCCCCCTCTCCATATGTATACACATGCTCACATATGCATAGTTAATGTATTCTTAATACATCTTAAATACTGTACTAGATTATGTTACATTAAAAATGACTTATTGGTCTCCTCACCAGGGTCTTCCGTGCAAAAGATCATACCGCCAGCCTCATCTCCATCAGGTCTGGCCATGTGACTTACTTAGACTGATGTAGCACGAGCCCACCTGCTGTGAGCCATCTCTGTGTGGAAATGTTAAGAACCACTCCTTGGCTCTGCTATTGTTTTTCTTGCATGGACATGGAAGCAGCATATTTTAAGCAGGGGTTACCCATTCACCAATGATGACAGAGGGCAGAATCAGACCCATGGTTGGCATGCATTGTAACCAAAAAATAAACCCTTATTATTACTGGAAGCCAGTGAGATTTGGAGGAGGGTCATTTGTTACCACAGATGACTTTATTTAAGTGGATTAATATAAATGCATCCCTAATATCAAAATGAAAATGTGTAGGTATCACAAATATGTAAGTTTGAGAAACATGGTATTAGCAATGGTGAACCCAAAAGATAGGGTCAGATAGCCCATTTAATAGAACAGGAAACTGAGGCTCACAGTGGTAAGGAGATCTCCCAACATCGCTCACCTAGAGAAGGTGGCAGAGAGGATCCAAGGTACGGCTGTTGGCCCATGGGGCATCACTCTCAGGGAGAAGCAACGGAACTGTACTTTGGCAAAACAGCTCAGTCAGGGATGTCTCTCCTGGGGAACCTTCTCTCCTTTCAGAGGCTCTTGTTTCTCCCCCTTTCAGCCCAAAACCACCACAAGCCCCTCCTGCCCCCACTCCCAAAGGTTCTCACAGTTGACTGCAAGGTGATTCCTGGTAAGGAGTTTACTGCTAACCAAAGGTGTTAACTGCTAATGAAAGTGCCAGCACTAACTAAGGTATTAGCTAATAAGGATTAACACCTCTCAGGGTGTTGGCATATTAATAAGGGACCTCAGGAAAAACCAAAGGATTTCAAGAGCCAGAGGAACAGAACTCAAAAGGTGGCAGGATAATCTGATTTTACAATTGTTTCTGCCCTGTTGTATGCTGGGCCCTGAGCTAAGACATACAGTAATATTTTGTGTATATGTATACATAGCACTCAACAGTTTACAAAACAAGTGCTTCATCCATCATCATCTTCCTTGCTCTTCACATCAGTCCACAGAGGTAAGCTTTGCTATTCCCAATTTGCCAATGAGGGAGCTAGGGTCAGCTGGTGGGGTGGGGTGAATTACTCAAGGTAATATGCTAACAGTTGGGGGCAAGAGAGACTGACCTTGCTTCCAGGATTAACTGACTCTGAGCTCATGGATCCCAAACCCCTAAGAAAAGTGAAGAAGTAACTACTGGGCCAAAGGATATCAGTTCACATCTGCCCTCCTCCTGGCCTAAGGTTGACACTAACCACAAGGAATTGAGGTCAAGCCCAGTGGTTCTTAAAAGGATGTGCCTATGGAGGCCCCCTTTCCTGTTGACTTTTATTATTCACCTTTTTAGATTCAGCTCAGGCCTCACCTCCTTCTAAAAATCTTTCCAGATGGTCACAGGCCGTCTCTCTTTGGGTTGCCAGTATATAGGGCAGGCCTTACCTACTCACCACATCAGAATGATCTCGCTACAGGCCGGAGAAATCTCTGTGCCTCCACTACTGGACATGCAGCAGAGAATGGAAGAAACTGCCATAAATGTTTATTAAGTGAATACATTAATTAATGACTCCCACGGTTTGTAGTGAGAAATCACCAAAGTGAACTCTGTTGTTGACCCTGCTACGATTAAATTTACACAGAAAATGGTCATTTAAAAGTGAAAGAGATGAACTATTCTCATTTCCTAAAAGCCCTGTTAATATCTCATTATCCAGCAGAAGTAGTTGATATTTGTCTTTGTGTGTCTCTGTGTGTGTTCATACGGACTATATTTACTTATCTAGCATTTTTAAGGTATTGTCTATAGACCAGTGAGGGCCATATTGTGTGAGCAGGATGCTATGGGATAAAAAGGAGGGAATTCCATGGCCAAATAAGTATGGAAAATCCTGGGTTTAAGAGACGTCTACTATAGGACTTCTGAGAGACTTTAAGGGTGACATTTGTTGATGATTTACTATATGCCAGTCACTATGCTAAGTATTTCACATTAATTATCTCAGTAGTTACCATTCTAATCATTCTGTAAGCTTGGGTTCCACTAGAATATAAGCTCTGTGAAGAGAGGCATCTTGTTACCAGAGTATTCCCAGAGTTTGACATATTGTGTTTACTCAATGGATGAATTAATGAATGAATAATATATGATTCCATAAAGGTCAACTGTTACAATGCCCATTTGATAGATGAGGAATTGAGTCTGACTACAGAGCTTGCTGTATGTCTTTAATGTGGTAACTAAAGTGCCTAGTAGATTGACAGGAGAGAGTTCTTACATGCAGACTTTCCAGACTCATTTGATTCAGAGCCTTTTTACAAGAAGTATCTTGCAGGACAGTATCTTGAGAAAAATACTCTGTGAAATGATGCCCTGCAAGCTTTAAGGGCAGGTTGCATTTTCTCTGAATGGGTTCCCGAGATCATAGTACATAGAAATTGGAAAGTAGAAGACAGGGAAAAGCATGTTTTCTGCTGTCTACTTTTTTCAGTATCTCCAAGTAGCTGCATCTCCACTGTTCCTGGGCCTGCAAAGACAGATCCCTCCAGGCCACCCAAGCTCTTAGATTCTTGTGACATCACTGGCTCTCTCTGTCCCTCTGGTCTTAGGATCTTTTTTCCCATAGCATGCTGTGGCACTTACTGGTCCACCGAAGATATCTTAGAAATGCAGTATTTTCCTGCTGTTGATAATCTCTTGGTGGCCTCACTGTACCCTTTCCGTTCTTCCAAACCTCTATAACCATGTCCCGATATTTATGCTCGCTACTGAGCCACCTGATGTGGCTGCAAGGGATACACAATCTCCTAAAGTAGTAATGGCAGCCATTTATGAAACACTTTCTAAGTATTGTGAATGTATTTGCTCATTTAATTTTTGTAGCCATGCTATGAGAGTCTCTAATAACCACCCCATCCTGTGGATGAATAAAATGAGTCTCAGGGAAATGAAATAATCTGCTCCAAGTCATATGGTTAATAAATGGAAGCTGGGATTTGAAGCAGACAGGCTAAGTCCAGAGCACTACTCACAGTTAACAGTAACAGAGGAACGCTAGAAGACAGGAAGATTAAACAAAGCCTTGTGTCTGTCATCCCTGTGGATGACAACAACCGAGTCCTTGATTTCAAGGAATTTGTGAGAGAGTTAAATGATTATGCTGTGGTCATGGAAAAGGAAGAGGCAGAAGAGCTTTTCCAGAAGTTTGATAGGCTCCCGAGCAGAGTAGAGTCTCAGGTCTTCTATTGAGCTTCTTAACCCTGGAGGTATGCTAATAGGCAGCACACAAGACTTCTTGTGTGTTTGAAGGGAATCTCCTAGCACTGGCCATCTAGCTGGACTAAATGAGGTTTGAGGGCCCCCAAACTTTCCTCCCAGCATGGTAATAACTTTATCCTCCTCCCAATCTTTGGAAACATCAAGCTAACTGTGATGTCATCAAAACAGGGTCCTTTGAGATCCTGATCAAATGCTACCATCCTGGGAGGGGATGGGCCCTCCCAGATGCAGGTGGAAATGCCCACACTTTCAGTTCAAAATAACTAGTGACATCAGGACAGCATTTCAGATGGCAGGGACAGCAGGTCATGGCCAACAGATGGCAATTCAGGCCAAGAAAAAGCTTACCATGGCCACTGACCCCATCGAAAGACTCTACTGCAGTGCCTGGCCATGGGCTCCATGGGCATCAAAGGACTTGGCAGAGTATTTCTAATTATGGATGACAACAACCGAGTCCTTGATTTCAAGGAATTTGTGAAAGGGTTAAATGATTATGCTGTGGTCATGGAAAAGGAAGAGGCAGAAGAGCTTTTCCAGAGGTTTGATAGATGGAAGTAG